GTTCAAAGTTTCAAGTTCCTTAACAACAACCCAGAAACCCTAAACCCTAAACCCTAAATTCCCTATAAGGAGGTTCAAAGTTTTAAGTTTCTTAACAGCCACCCAGACACCCTAAACCCTAAAACCCTAAATTCCTTATAAGGAGGTTCAAAGTTTCAAGTTCCTTAACAACAACCCAGAAACCCTAAACCCTAAACCCTAAATTCCCTATAAGGAGGTTCAAAGTTTCAAGTTTCTTAACAACAACCCAGAAACCCTGAACCCTAAACCCTAAATTCCCTACAAGGAGGTTCTAAGTTTCAAGTTCCTTAACAGCCACCCAGAAACCCTAAATCCTAAACCCTAAATTCCCTATAAGGAGGTTCTAAGTTTCAAGTTTCTTAACAGCCACCCAGAAATCCTAAACCCTAAATTCTCTATAAAGAGGTTCAAAGTTTCAAGCTTCTTAACCGCAACCCAGAAACCCTAAACCCTAAACCCTAAATTCTCTATAAAGAGGTTCAAAGTTTCAAGTTTCTTAACAGCCACCCAGAAACTCTAAACCCTAGACCCTAAATTCTCTATAAAGAGGTTCTAAGTTTCAAGTTCCTTAACAGCCACCCAGAAACCCTAAACCCTAAATTCCCTATAAGGAGGTTCTAAGTTTCAAGCTTCTTAACAACCACCCAGAAACCCTAAACCCTAAACCCTAAATTCCCTATAAGGAGGTTCAAAGTTTCAAGTTTCTTAACAGCCACCCAGAAACCCTAAACCCTAAACCCTAAATTCCCTATAAGAAGGTTCAAAGTTTCAAGTTTCTTAACAGCAACCCAGAAACCCTAAACCCTAAATTCCCTATAAGGAGGTTCTAAGTTTCCAAGTTCCTTAACAGCAACCGAGAAACACACGGCATGAACATGAAGCAGAAGATCACAGCTGCCAGAGCCGGCTCCAAAAAGTCATCCACCTGGAAGGCTCAGGGGTTTAGGGGGTTTATTGTTTAGGGTCTAGGGGGTTTAGGGTTTAGGGTCTAGGGTTTACGGTTTAGGGTACATGGTGACAACGGAACAGAAAGAAACTACTATAATGGGTTATATAGGGATTGTAAGGCAGGTCTAGGGTTTAAGATTTCAGTCTTTTGGGTTTATGGGCTTGAGGGTTTAAGGTTTAAGATTTAGGGTCTTGAGGGTGCAGGGCCTTTGGAGGTTATAGGGTTTAGGGTTTAGGGTTTAGGGTTTAGGTTATAGGGTTTGGGTGCTTTGGGATGGGCAAATTTTCCGTGGACACGTGGGATATTGTGTTGTTTCTCTCGCCTATACTCTGAATCCATTTCCGGGAAGTCTATTGATGGATCTCTTTGGGGGCCCTTATGATCAACACTTTGCCCCAGTCTGGTTTGGAGGAATATGTGCCACATGGTTCTGAAGAGGAACTCCAAAGACTCCTTCTTGTCCCGGTACACTTCTAGACGCCTCTATGGTACCCCTGATTTGGAATTTTCCCTAAAGAAGGGGACCCCAATATAGATCCCAAAATACTATAATCCAAACTACGGGGACCCGAAGAAAAGTACTCCTAATTTTGGGAAACCCCCATTTTGACAAATGGACGCCCACCTGTGTGTTCCAGAAGTCTAGCATCACCCAAAGAGCAGGGCTTGCAGTTTGCACTATACGCCAGTACCTGCATCTTAGGGTTCAGGGCTTAGGACTTAGGAGTCAGGATCTTGTGACAATGAAGTTTCATACCTAAACTAGCTGCGCTCAGGTCTAGGCGAACCAGTACCTGCCGCAGATTCGCAGTCTCTCACAATTGTAGGGTTAGGCCTTCTTGTGGGTTCGATCACGAAGAGGTACCATGTGGGTGGTAGCATCCTACCCACGACTCCCCGGATAACTTCCCGTCAACACCCAGGCATACCCTTCAATGCAGGTCCTTTCGGGGCCCCTAACCTTCTGGCCAGGATCTTGTAACAAGAAAAGTGAAGCCCTAAACCCCAAACCCAGAAAAAACCCTAAAACCAAAACCACTGCAGGGTCTAGGTATGACACCTCCCGCTAACCTGGAAGCCCTCAGCTTTCAGGGTTTAAGTTCTGAGTCGTCATAGGCGCTAGAATCTAAAAGGGGGTCATATACGGGATTATGTAAGGGAGGACTATATAGCTTAATAATGGAGATATTAGGAGTTTAGACTATAGCTCGTATCACATACGCTGGGGTGATCTATGACAGCAGCAACTACTGTAGGAGACTAGGATTTTACCTGGCTGTAACTCTAGGGTTTAGGGTTTCGGGTTTCATAGCCCTACCTAGTTTGGGTTTGGGGTTTTGGGGTTCATAGGTTAAAGGGATGTTGGATGTCTGTTCTGGGGAAGTAGTCCTAACTGGCAGATAAGGGAGGGAAAGCGGGGGGGATATGGTCCTTCTATTCCCTCCCCGTCTCCTCCTCCAGCAACAGAAAGGTGGATTCGCAGGTTATTAGTAATGCAACTTGAAAAGCATGTTATCAAATCAGCCGCAGGTACGAGAAGACATGGTAGGTAAGCTGATGGACTAGAACCGTCTGCACCTTGTCTCGCACTGTGCTCTCGAAGCTCTTTGTCGATCCAAACCACGCAGCGATGCACCGAAGAATGATGGCACGGTCGCAGACCATAGGTGCACCGCTGCCAGGCATAGCGTGACCCAAGGAGCAGCACTGGCTCCAAGATTTGTCAATGGTGAAGTTGCGAACCTGTTGCTGAATAACGTCGATGCTGCGGCAGTGAGCAATCACGGCGAAGGCGAAAAGCATCAAGCACGGGAAGGCAAGGCCACACATGAAGACGGCCCCCCATGGAAAGAGTGGAACCTTCCAGAAGATGCAAGTTCAGGATACTTAAGAGGAATGAAATCATCTTCTCAGAATCCTCAAGGGGACTGCAATTCTCCCCATCTAATCCCCATAGGTCCCTGGTGACTTGTAAAGCAGGCTTTAGGGGCTGGGGGCTGGGGGCTCAGTATGCTCCTCATCGTCCAGTTCCCGGTGCACCTCGCCACCCACACTCTGTCTAGGTAACAGGTTGTGAAACCACCACCTACGACAAGGATAGAATGAAGTGGGACAACGTGTTCATCTCCAAATCCTCTACGCACCGATATGTCTTCAACTTAGTCTACAACATCTCCTGGCGCCTGCGAGAAGAGGTACAGCGTGAAGAGCATGCAGAGGCCTAAGTGACCGATCAAAAGCGCCGGGCCAACGAAGACCGGGCAGACCACCAAACTCTCCTGCGGGAGTCAAGCCATTGAAGCTCTGGGGCCCAAGGGGACACTGACCGCTTCATACTTCAAACCCATCAAGCTCAAGTCTGCAAATCATGAAGCTTAAGCTCTAAATGCTGAAGGCAAACCCTGAATCTTAAACCTTGACCCCTGAACCGCGACACTCATCCCGACCTGCATTCCCCGCATGCTCCAAGCAATCTTATTGTGCCTAGGCAATCTGCTCTTATACCAGCTACTGTCATCTTGGCAAAGCCTAGATTGCCTTCCATGTTAATTTTTAGTGGAGGGTAAACCCCAAGCCCCTATTCCGAGAATTCCTGGCCGTACTTTACAAGCCTACACCCTAAACTGCGGGGAAGGGATTGCCATCCGCAAGCCGCAAGACCTTTTCCTGGGCGCCCTTGTCAGACTCCCGACTGTTCAGGAAGGCCGCCATCTCGAACATACACCACAACCTTGCGTCTGAAGTTCAGGATTTAATGCTCAAAGCTAAGGATTCAAGGTTTATGCTTCACAGTTTAATCTTATTTCTAAGATTTAGCACTCAGGGTTTAGGGTGCCTTGTAGGGTTTGGGTGCAGGGCAGAGTTTCAGAATGACGGGTTCGGAAGGTTCTGCGGACAATTCAAAACGTCCCAACACCCTAGACATTTTGAGACGCGTGCTGAACCCCTTTGTAATCATTTCAGAGCATACGCATACCCAGCTAGAACTCCTCCTTATCCGGGGTTCATCTAGGCCATACATGTCTTGCAAGCTGTCTACCCGTAACGTCTGCAGGAGAAATCCCAGAACAGGGGCCATAATTCTGCGAACCCCTATAAAACCCCAATCCTAAATCCCATACTATCATCTATGAATCTGCTCTAGAAGGCGCCTTGAGACATAGGTAGCGTCCCAGAGGACCAGGAAAGATTTGGAGCGCTTTAGGAAGGCACCCATGCTGATCAAGCCTTCTGCTTTCAAGCGAACATCGTCCTTAGTTAGCACAAGGGGTTGTAAGGAACAGGAGCATTACTGGCCTTACGTTTTCATAAAAATGCTACAGCTACTTTAACGAGAACCCAGCTTCCTGGCTGATGCAAGCAATGTCCAGGAAGACCTGGTTCAGGTACAAGGTGCAGAAGAAAGTCGCAAGGGACCGCATCCGAGACCCATCATCCGAATCTAAAGGAAGTACAACTAGAACAATAGTCGCGGTATGGATCCCGAAGCTAGGAAGTCAGAAACGATGGTAATGATTGCAACGACACCATGAACAGCAAGGACACAAACAACAGGAACGATAGCAATCATAGCCGAAGTAGCAGTGACAAAACTAGCTGCCCTCTTTCTGCCACTAGTCTGAGGGTGAGTAGCAGTAGCAGTAGCAGTAGCAGTGGCAGTAGCAGTAGCAGCGGCTGCAGCAGCAGCAGCA